CGCTCCGCTGCGGACGGCGCTGCGAGGTCCGTTCCCCCCCTCGGCCCGGGGCGGCCCGTGACAGTGTGTTCTGCGTTCCCTCCTGCCAATACCCGGCTCTCAAACATTTGTCAATGATTTCATCCGTGGTGTTGCTTTTACAATGTATCAGTATGCCCTCTCGCCCCCCAGATCTGTATTCTAAGGCGTGAGACAAATGTCGGGTATTTAAAGTATAACAACGTATTTCTTGGCCACCATTATTTATGCAGGCTCTGGACATCGTATTGTGGTTTTGGTAGCAGACAGAATGCAAGGAGTGTTGGAAGAAAAATATCCCCCAACGGGGGGTTTCTTGTACACCCCTGTATAGTAAAAATACTTCTTTAAAAGATGAGCAAGTACTCAAATTCCTTTAGGAAAAACAAATGACTACTTAAATCTTGCCAATATAGCAGAATAAAAGCTGTGCTAGTTGACATTTGGTAACATTAAACTTCTATTCTTTTACTAAATTGATTCATTTCTTGCAAGTTTTATTTTGATGCACCTAAATTGCTCAGATGAGGAATGGCTAACAAGGTGTTAATGAAAAGCCATGTAGAAACAAAAAATTCTTTGGCACTATCAAGTCATGGAAAAACTTCTTACCGTGGAGACTTGTGTTAAAGTTGGCATTTTTTGTGGAAGAATAAATAACTTGGAGACAAGGAAATACGAGAGAGAAAACACATACTAATGACGGGGCATGATTTGCCTGAAAGCAAAGATGATTTCTGAATTAAGCTGAAATGAAAACACGAAGTGCAGAAAGAGCGCAAGTCGTGTGGGGACTTGCTCAGAAGCTGGTAAGAAGGGCTCTCTCTTACCTGAATTCTGGTAACGGCTGCCTTCCCTGATGCAAAAGGCATGTCTGTATGGAGGCGCTCATGAAGGTTAAGCCAAATTAACAGAAAGTATTAAAAAAAATGCAAGTTAAAGTAGATGAAAGACTTGTGTGCATAAAGTGATCGCAAGGGATAAATTAAAACAGACTAAGACCATTTCTGAGAACAGTTTAATGTGTTTTAACTTCTGCGTAGAAAAATCTTTGCTTTTACTCATTGGTTTATTTTTTTTTTTAATATTTTTTATCCCATAGTGTTTTGCAAAGAGAGACTTGAACCTGCAATAGGGAAACAATTGTGTTACCAAGAAGCAGGGAATTTTAATGAAGCCTGGCTATCAGAGCCCTGGAGAAGGGTGGGCTTGGGAAAAGCGAAGGTTACGCTTGTTCCTTTGAGGGACCTCCAGATTAGTGATCCAGATGCTGCACTTTCACAGGGATACTGCACTTATCAAAGCAAATCAAAGCTCAGACAAGCTGGATTACATTTTTTCCCCACTCTTAAAAAAAAGGCAAGGTGAGGTTCTTTTTGTATAGAGACGTGCAAAAAATGCGTCTGTAAGAGCGAGTAACCAGAGTTTTCAACGTCTCTGACTGGCTGGTGTGAAAACTGAGAGTGGGCTGAGTCTACACATGACTGACATCACAGAGGTGATAAGGTAAATGACACTTTGACCTATCTTTAATGTGGTCTTATTTGCAACGTTTACTGGTCTTGATGTTCATATTAATAATACATTTTAATCTTCCTGTTCTATCATTTCCTTAAAATAATTCAGTGTCTTATTTCCTAATTGTTCTACCCTTCACATTTTTATTATTTAATTGAATAGGGGCACTGTCTTACGGCTAAGTTGAACAGATCTGCCTTATGTTTAAGTTCATATTCTGTGATCTTTTTGGAGCTCTTTCTCAAGTCCTTTTATTACAGTAGGAAAAAATTACTATTGAAGTAATGATGTTCCAATTCAGTGAGAGATCACATTTGTCTGCATTTAGTCACATATACTGTGTTTCTCCTTCCATCCTCTCCCCATGAGCGGCTGTTCTAATGATGAAAATAGTCTATTAGTGATACTTATATTAGTGTATCAGTAGCAATTCAAGACATATAAACAAATGCCAGTCATTGTTTTTAATCTGTGACTGTTTATCATTATAGTTTCTAATACTACAGTATACGTTCTTCAGTGTCACAGAATGAGATTATTCTAGAAAAGCCAGTAAGCTCAGACTGCAGAACTACAGAAGCAAACAAATCCACATGCCTTACCATGTATAATGTTTCAAGCTGCTTCATTTGTGAAGTAAGACTCATTAACCGGGCAATGTACGGTAGCTTTCTCTTTAATTACACAGTTTTATTATACAGTGGAATTATTTCTCAGAATGCAACTGTTTTCACAGACTGACCTTTTATTATAAGAGAAGTTTCTGTCTAATGAAGAGAGGTAATCACAGCACAAAATAGACTTTTGACATATAGAAAGCTATTGTTACCAGGACTTTGCTAGTGCAGAATGTTACTTAAAAAGAGAACTTAATTTACATATTTTAAAAATTATAGAGTTGTGTACAAGTAGCAGTGATGTTGAGAGACGAACCAAGAAAAGCAGTGCTTGCAACTGTCCTCACATTGCTCTGTAGATCCCACAGTAGATTGTGTAGTATATGTTGCACCTGACAGAAGGGGTTTGTGATAGGGAAATGGATGTTTGTAGAGGAGTCACTTTCTGACCTTCTATCCAGTGCTTTTTAGTTTTGTTCCTTTATTGCCTCTTCATTAGGATGTGTGACCACTTTCCACCCAGCACAGAGATCAGCCTTGACCTTTGCATGCCTAAATAAGAGAGAGAATTTTGCTTGAAATCTGAAGCATAATAATTGTGAGGGGCATTTGTTCTGACCGCCACATCGAACAGCTCACTCAGCAGGATTTAAGTGTGATAAATGCCCTTGCCCCCAGGTGGCTGATTTTTGCGGTAGAATTAAGCGTGGTGGTAGAGGTTGCAGTACAGTTTGCTAGTTATTCCATCTCTGAATCCTTTCACTGTACTTTGCAAGCATTACTCTCTGACAGAGATGTCTTATTAAAATAAGAAATCTATAAGATTTGGAATATTTAAATTATTTCTTTTACTTAAATAGGCTATTTGGGTATGCGTTTTCCCACTTTGAGAACCTGGGTTCTTTTAGGTTGATACTGGAGAAGAGCTTAATTGTTCCATGCCAGGACAGGAGATTTACAGGAAGAAATAATTCTCTTTTTTCTCTCCCCGCCCCAACAGAAATGACAACTAACAATCCTTTTATCTTCTTTTTGAAAACATCAGAAGGAGCAGGTTTTGTTTGCAGTGTGTTTACGAAGAGAAAATGTTGTGAAAGTTCGAGCAGAAGATTTGGCGTTGCGGAGTCCCAATAGCTACATTCAGAGCTCTCGTTAGGATCTCTGTCTCTTTAGGAGCTCGCGCTCTCTAGAAGAACGAAATCTGTGATTGACTATTCCCACAATGTGAATAGGAAACAGTTGAAGTAATAGTCAAGACACAGGTGGCAGGCAGTGCACAGTCTCCCAAACAGTCACAGAAATGGTTTGTTAAATGCAAATACCACCTCTCATACAAATTGGAGGTTTTTCTTTGGTTATCCCACAAGCAAAAAATGTGGCTGAATTTAGTGACAGAGTTATTTTTCTGTACCTTCTAGTATACGCCCATGCATTTGTCATGCAAAATTTGTTAAACTCTTTTCCAAGAGCAGTTCAGTTCATGTGTTTAACAGATACTGTCCATCAGAAAGCATGTCAAAGGAAACCACTTTGTTAAGGGATGAGGTACACGCAATGCAACCCAATAAAGACGGTACCTGAAGCTTCTTAGAGTACTGCCTTCACTTCCTGCCTTTCTTATTTTTCACACCTTTGCATGTATGGTGAGAAGCAGAGAAAAGTAAACCAAATCCCTTTATTAACTGTTCCTAACTTGAGAAGCTTGTATTTGTGACCATTTGCAGGGCTGGGTCATATATCATGGTTTATATTCTTGCTCTTATATCTTAACCTAACAAAACAGGAAGGTAAGTGGGAAAAACCACCTCAGTGCTGCTTCTGCATATTTTGAATATAAGTCCAAATAATATTTATAGCCAGGTTATAAACCCAGGCAGATGGGCTTCTTAGACTGCCCGTATTGTGTTGCTAATGATTGTCCCATTACCAGTTCTTAATGCAGTTTCTTTATGGATAAGATCATGTTTCGTGATGTTGAGGGAAAAGATGACGGTTTAGTTTTTAAAATGTTGTTGTTATATGGCACTTTACTCTTTTAAATGTTATTTTTCTTCAACTGAAGGTATTACGGTTATTCTCAAGTATAAACATTGCCAGTTGTTCTTAAAGCTCTGAAAAGCTTTGCATTTGGTAATTGAACTGCTTGACTTAGTATTGTACTTTTCAGCCTTTCACATTTAATTAACATTCAAGTGGGAATTATGAACAATTTATATCTGTCAGGAAAAGACAAGACGTAACAAATTGTCTCCATGCAGATGTGAAATTGAGGCAACCTTAGAGAGACTAAAGAAACTGGAGCGTGATCTGAGCTTTAAAGAGCAGGAACTAAAGGAACGGGAGCGACGTTTGAGGATGTGGGAGCAGAAGTTAACCGAACAGTCCAATACTCCTGTAAGTAGACAATAATTCAACCTTTCATCTTCAGAAAGTATTTGGAGCTTTGTCTATGTAAATCTAAAGACACACCATAGTGCCCCTGTTTCCTTTAGTTGTTCCTTTGGGCCAGTTAAAGTCTATTTTATTACATCACTGCAAATAACTATACTATTTTAAAAAATTTCATCTAATACATTAGATATCAGATATTGCTGATAGTTCATATTGTGCCATGGGCACTTAAGTAGTTTCACATTGATTTAATTACAGTTCTCAGCTTTGAAAGTTGATTGCAGACAATAAACTCATTTTTCAACTAGAAAGTTGTTGACTTTAATGGATGCAGTATTTGGTCTTAAATGTGAGAATCATTTGCTTCTTGCAGAAGAAGGCTTGAGAATCTTATGTAGATTTTTTTTTTTTTATATTATTCCGTTCTTTTTCTTTGAGAAGAAGCAAATTTCCATTCTGTGAAAAAAGGGGTCAAAATTTGAAGTGTTAATTTAGGGCTTTGTTCATAATTATAGTTAACATACTTGTACTGGCCAGTTATTAGCTGTTAAGATTGCCATGTTTCTATTAATAAATTGAACAAAAAAACTTCCTTGGATTATCTTGAATTTCTTAACGAAATATGATGCTCTTGACTACTGATTGGCAGAGGGAGGACCACAGGGTTAGTGCATGGCTAGACATATTAGAAGACACTTGTTGTTAAGAAAAATACCGTGTTACCTACTTGTTTTTAAAGCACTAGCCAAAACAAATACCAAATTGAGATTGCAGTAGCATATTTTTCCTATGCACAATTTTATGCTACTTATAACCTTGATTCCAGCCAGACCCATTTACGTACAAACTTGTTTTTAAGGCATAGCTTATTGCTATTGTTTGAATGAAGTTGCATTCGTGTTCCAGATGTGAACATGCAGTAATGAAATCATGAAGAATGAATGTTTTCCTATGTGCAGATACTGTATGTTCTCAGTAGATATCTGTATGCCTGCTTTAACACTTGCAAACTTCCAGTAACTGAGCTGTGGGCCATCATCTATCCTGAGCACAGCATGAGACACAGCCTTAATGAGCAAATCTTTTCACGAGCAAGGCCCTAGGGCTTTTTTATGCTGTACTTGCTTATGACTTCTACTTTTCACTTAGAGCTGGCATTGCTGAAAGAATAAAGCATTGTGCTAAGGCCTATTGTGCTAAGCATGAACCATCTTTCTGCATAACGTTAACCCAACTCTCCTATTGCATTTAAATGCAATTTCTTCTAATAGGGAAATACAGGTTTGTTTTTTCCATAGATCTTTAGTGAACTGTTACACAAAATGGCTTTAAAAGAAGCCCTTTTGTTGGAAAAAAATTGACCTACTGGCAAAAATTGGCCTGTTCAAGCAGGATTTTTTTTTCATAGCAAATTAAGTTCTACAAGACACTGGTTACACATACAGCTGTATTTTAAATTCATAGCTGTAAATCATTTGCAAAATATCCCTGGGCATTGTGTTTGCAAGCTGTAATCCTTGGAGTCAAGTGTCTCCCTCCCTCACTTGGTTCAGGGTATGTCTGCTCAGCAGTATCAAACTGGAAGATTGCAACAGGGAGGTGCACTGCTTGATTTTAAGCTACCTTGGCTGTAAAAACAGTAGTAAAGATACGGCAACCAGAGCTAATAACACAGCTTAGGGTGCCCACTAGGCTTATACCTGGTTCTTAACCAACACTAGGCCTTGTTGTGTCTTAGCTGGTACTGTCATCCCTGCTCTGCAGTCACTTCTTTGTTTTGCTCTGCAGCAAAGACCAGAGGCCAGCAGATACTATTAAAGCGGTGTGCAGGAGGAGAAACTCAGACAAAGTGAAAGGAGAACAGGGAAGTTGTCTCTGCCACTTGATTCTCCAGTGTTTTAGGGTTGGTAGAAGCTTCATCGTGCATGGTAGGTAGCTATGAGTAGCAGGCTGCTCCTATTCCAAAGAATAAAGTATAGCTTTACACACATCAGCATGAGAGAAGGATGAGGCCAATCTTCAGAAACACTTCTGTAAAAGTAGTGTTTCTCTCTGCTCTTGTTTTGACCCTGTTTCTACTGTGTCTTATACAACAGACACCTTTGAGTCTGATCTCTGCAAATTCCCTTTGTGCAGATCTCCAAGAGCCTCTTGCACAAGGGAATCTGGAGCCTTTTGGAGGAGTAAAATATCTCCACAGCTGTAGTGAAATGGGAGACTTCTTTTGAAAGAGGACCTGACTTTAAGAAGGCAATGTATGTAGCTAAGCTGAAGCTCATATTTAGAGGAAGATAGTGAGCAAGACATGAAATCCAGATATTCACTTGTGGTGCCGTGCACCTGCAGGTGGTCATTTAAGAAGAACAGTGGCTTGTACAGAGATTGGGGATCCCAGCCATCTATAAAAGTCTCTTCACGATAGTTATCATATGCAATGTGACACCAAACACAGGTCCTGTCACAAAGAGCTCCTAAGTTCTCCAGGTAACAAGATGGCAAAATATGGAGGAAGTAGGGCGATTATAACTCGCAAAATGAGCCACAGTTACGGCCCATTCTCAGCTTACCCGCTGCCAGACATTGCACAAACACTGACCCAGAAACGTGTTTTAGAGGAAAGCTGTTTTGCAGCTTTGTTGATTTTTATAAGGAATTCTTCCCATATGTCAGGGGATGCTTTTCCATGGATCTAAAGCGACTAAAACTCCAATAGCTGATGGGAGAACTACCTGGCACTGAATCGCGTGTGCTGGGCATCTCGTTTCTGTGGCTAGATCTTGTTTTTAAAATACTCCTTCTCTTTATCAGTAGGAGCTTTTGGTGTCCTTGATCCGAGTAGCACTCTGGTGATGGTGCAACTGTTTATTCCTGTACAGCCAGGTGTACAGAAGCTTAGCTGCAGGTTCTTTCGTCACTTAGCCATAGGATGCATGAAGAGTATTTAGGGCATCCCATCTCCCCAACTTCTTAATTTTATTTTCGTTTCTTAAACCATGATCACTAACTTTTGTTAACCACAACGCAAATAGAAAGCCTATGTAAGTAGGGAAAACTCAAGAGGAGCAAAAGACAGATACTGTCCTTTTTAATGATAAACAGTTTGTCAATGTAAGTGGTTTTGCCAAGAAATGGGCACTCTTTGAGCAGCCTGGCCATGAAGTCTCCTGTGTTACAGACCAGGGCATCACCACAATCACCCCTGTAACCCGTTGTGACCAACTGCCGTTGACTCTTCAGTCAGTTTTCTGATTAGGTTAAAAAAGATGTGGAAAAGCATGAATTTTGGGCAGGTAGTTTTGCAAACAGCTTTGGAAAGAAAGGCCAGTTCAGGTGTTCACACACGGCTCCTTTGCTGTTGCTTTAGTAGGTAGTTTAATTCGGGATGAAACTCCTGAGTTTTTACTCCCTGTGGAGAAAAGGCAAGCATGTCACAGAGGTTCCTAGCCCGGCCACTCTGAAGAGGCATTAATCATTACATAGCTGGAGAGGGCACATTTCATTTGTTATTACAAACAGACTGGGTCAGGAAAACGCCATTATTTGTAGGTGAAGATTAAATCAGTAGAGGTTTAATATGATGTACAACCAAACGGCAGATATCTATTGATATCACTTAAAAAAAAGAAAAAAAAAGAAAAAAAAGAAAAGGCAACCAAGGTGAAGAAGCTGACCAGCTGACCGAACAGCCCCTCTTCCCCTGCCTGCTCCTCCCTGGGAGCCTGCCTCTCCCTGGGACAGCTTCCAGAAGCAAGGTGCTGGTGCGGGCTGGAGGCTGGTTCCCGTCTCCTTTGCATTGGTGAGAGGCTCGTTTCTGATTGTGGCCGTTGCAGGGTGACCCCTTCCTCTCCTTCTGAGCATACGCTCAAAACCAGTCTTTGCACAAATAATACTGCTGCTGTTTTTTCTGATATTTAGAGGGCTGCTACTTCTGCACCAAACTTTGGGAGCTTGTTTGGGTTCTCTGATCTTAACCTGATTTATTCTTCAATCCTGAAAGGTTCGATTAAGCAACTCACTCAGACTTCTGTTGTACCCACATTGCCTTGGGAGCCAGCCCACCTGGCTGGGAAACGTCACATTGTGTTTTACGCTGTACAAAATGAAGGACTGAAGAGTTTGAACCTTCTTTTGTCATGAAAGCTCTGCTACCTGTGGTTCTTGCCATGCGACTCAGTGATTTTGCACTTTCATTTAGGAACAATGACCCCAGAATGAAGCTGTCTGATTTAATGAATTCTTACTTGATCTCCGTGTTTAGATTCGCTAATCATTGTGCTTTCTGTTGATTGCCAACTAATCTGGTGGTGTCTTTTTCCTCGATTTTTAAATTGGTTCTAACTTTCACTTTTGCTCTGTCCTTTCCTCCTTTAAATAGTTTTTCTTACCTCTTGCTGCAAGAATGTCTGAGGAGTCTTACTTTGAATCTAAAACAGAGGAGTCAAACAGTGCAGAGATGTCATGTCAGATCGCAGCAACAAGTAACGGGGAGGTAGCTGGCATGAACCAAAGTCTGAAGGCCTTGATGATGACGGGCTTTGGGGATATCTTCTCTCTGAACCAAGCAGGATCTGTCCTGCATTCTGGAATGCAGATAAACATGCAAGCCAAAAAGAATTCTTCTAAAACCACCTCTATGAGAAAAGGAAAGAAAATCAACATGGCTTTGGGTTTCAGTGAATTCGACTGGTCAGATGACGATGATGATGATGATTATTTTGATGACACAGATGATAGCAGCGAATGAAATCAGTTATAGAATTAACCCTGAAATCGGTTTTAGCAAAGCAAAACAATAAAGTTTTAGAACAAGAATCCTGTCAGTTTGGTCTGTTCAAATCCTGTAAAAGAAAAAAAAAAAACCAAAAAAAGTGAGACATTTTCCAGGCTGAGCATGTTTGTGTGTAGAAAGACATGTTGTTTTTGTTTAGATTGCGCTGACTTATTTCTGCTTTGATGAAATTTGGAACTAAACTTTCCAAACTAATTGAGATTATTATTATTTTAAGAACCGTGATTATATCTATAATTCTTGATGCCTGATTACAGAAACTATGGCTTCATAAACTTAAGATCTGAAAACATTGGGGGAAACTTCAATGCCTTTAATGCCATTAATGTACTTCAAATTTTTCTTTTGTGTTTTTTGTCATTTCCCTTACCCCTTTAATTGTCAGTCATATGAATATACTTGTACTTCCAGATTTGCTATTCTCTACAATCCATTCTTTCTTACTGTTGCAGTGGAGGGGTTTGCTGTGTTTCTAATTTAAAGCCTTTTTCAAGGCGGCATTGTGGGAAGTCACAAATACGTTTCTAGGAAGAGAGAAGCTTGGTTGAGGGGAAGAGAGGGGTTAGTTGAATACACAGTTTAAAAACTGAATAGCAGCAGAATCCAGATAATCCCTATTAGTAGATGATTTGTATAAATGTTCTTTTTTCCCCTCACGTGTATGTGCATGTGTATATAATTCACTCTAGCAAAGCGAACTGCAATCAGACCTCTGCATCTATTATCAGATATTGTGATCTAGAAGCTAATTTTCAGTTATGTTGATGTAAATCCAGGAAGCCTCATTAACTTTGATGGACTTATTCTTGTACCTCAGAGTAAAAATCGGTGTTAGTAAATTTTGATTCTGTTGCATCTCCTAAACTGTGTGTGCTACCCCTATGAAAGGACAAAGAGCAGCCACAATGACATTTCAGCTTGGGCCCTACTACTGTGGCTTATGTGAAATTCTCTGTGATGGTGGTAACGTGAGGAATGTTTACTAGTCTCTGCATACCTGTTTTTTGCAGCTAAATCACTTTTAAAGTATTGCCACTGCTGTTACGACTTACCGTAAAACTCAGTGTGTAACAATCTGCTGCAATAATTGCCTGCCAGGCACTTATGTTGAGAGCAGCAAGTACGTTTCTCCTGATGACCCCTTTAGTGGTGATGCAGAAGGAGGGAGGGAAACCAGTGCAAACACAAATGCAGGTTAGAAAGGAAGATGTAAAATATTTGCCCAAGGAAGAAGGGCAGCATTTCAAAAGAAAAATGTTACTGTCTAGTTCAGCTGTAGTGGGGAATAAGCCATCAAAATTCCATTCGCAATTACTGGAGGGGTTTCTTTTTATAAAAACTTCTGGTTTTGAGTGGCTTCTTTAATTATAGGCTTGCCTGTTACACAGCTCTAACCTACATATTATAGTGTTTTTGTAGATAGCTTAGAGAAAAATGGATACATTAGATAACAGCAGGCCTGAAATCATTACATGTTCACTCAACAAAAGAGAAAGTTCTTTGAAGGAGTTTTTCTAGAGTGACGAGTGGGCACCTCTTTGGGTTGTGAGAGAGAATTGTTTTATCCTTAAGCATCAGCTCTGGTCTGGTAACCTGCAAGGCAGCAAGTGCTGCGCTTTGAGCTAGCCTACTCCAGTAAGTTTGCACAGGACTTGACCCTCCAAGATGCTTAATTTCTGTAGGATGTCATTCCACATTCCACCTTCTTCCTAACAGTTGCAAATCCATTGGCTTGAAGTTAACCCTCTTGTATCAGAAGCTTTTCTCATGGTAGAATTGTAATTTAAATGATGTGGTAAGTTTATGGACTATCCCAAGGAGAAACTTGTTCCTTCGGCACAGGTAGGGATGGCTTCTTAGGTCCATCAAAGCTACCTGATTTTAGGGAGAAAAAGGGACATTGAAGGGCAAATGATTAAATGGAAATAAGAGCAAATAGTCTGTTTCCAGTGCAGATTTGTACTATTTTTGTAAGTCTACGTCTGTTAACACCCACAGCAATGATACTATTTTTGTAACTGCCACTTTGCACCCAGGAAAATTTGATGGATTTGTGTGATCTAATATGTGCACTTTAGATCTTAAGATGTGTGTCATTGTGCATGAATTACTCTACCACATAAGCAGTGTAGGGTTACACAGCTTTAACTGAAAATGAAATTTGGTTCAGTACATTCAGTATTCAAAAAACAAAAAAAAATCTGTCCCTAGCATTGATGTTTTGCACTTTTCAGCATCTGACAATCTCAGAGCACTTCATGCACATTTATATTGGCATGGGTTTTAACTGAATTTGTAAATCCATTCCTTTAGCTTTACAGAAGTAAAAGTAGTCCTTAAGTAGTGTGACACAGGGTTTCATAGTTGCAAAATCACAAGATTTAAGTCTGTCTTCAAGGTTTTGTGCTTACCCAGGTGTGTAACTTATTTCAGCAAAATATCATCAGAATTTGGTAGCATGCTCATAGGAAGTTCTGCTATCTACATAGTTCCAGTATTTTTTAATGAAACAAAGATGGATTTTTTCCTCCCTTCCCCTTTCTTTCCCCATACATTATTTGTCAAAGCAAATTCAGCTATATTAAGGAAAAATTTAAACTCTTGTAAAACTTACCTGTGTGTTCACAATAGCAAAGGTGGTCTCTGAATTGTAGAGAAGGTGATAACATACGACAAACTCTTCTAATGCAGTTCCCTTGAGATAGTGTTATACTTAGGATATTGGCTATGCTTATTAGAAAAATAACGGTATTGATTGCATTTTTACTTTCCTGTGATGACTTTCATACCAGATGTCTCCAGTTTACAAGCCAAAAATCATATGTGAGAAGCAAGCTATGTTGCTTCTGCCTCTGATATGCTTCCTACGAGATAAAGGTTTTGAAAGTCGCTCTGGTGGGCAGGTATGTTGGTTGGAGGAGGTCAGAGTATTTCATCTTCCACACCTGATTTTGCTCTGCAGTGCAACCCAGTCTGTCTTCTACCTGTATCATCACCAGGGCATAATCATCTCCACAACAGTCCACAGCCACGTAGTGTGTCAGCTTAGGAAAGCATTAACCAAACCCAGAAGGTGTTTCTCTGGCTGCTCTGGGCTGTGAGCAAAGCCACCAAAAGCTTTCCCATGCCTCGTACACCTCTCAGCTCACTAGTCCCCACCAGGCCTTTTGGGATCCCAGCTTTCTCTACCTTCCATAAAACCCTGGAGGTACGTGCAGTAAAATGATTATGCTGCATTTGACAAAGGGGAAAGGTAAGAACCAGGCCTGAACTTCTCGGTTTTACCAGGCTGTTGTATTACCAGCATTGACTTAGATGGGTAAATGGCACGAGAGAAGAATGGTGAGGGTCAGCTTTTGGCTTGCTTAAAGATACAGGGTGAGCTGGGACCAAGACAGGATGTCCAACTCCCAACTCCCTTTCTTTTCCTTCAGCAGTGGGGAAAAAATGGAAGGGGGAATTAATGGAGGAAAACTTCCGATCGAGTCATTTTTGTGACGATCACACCACTAATTCCTTGGACTAGCAAGTGTCCTAAGGTACGGTATGTAGGTGTGCTGCATCCCCAGCTGGTTGTGTGCTGCTTGACCTGGAGCTTGTCCCCTCTAGATGGGAAGGGCTTTCAGGAGGTGAGGTCTCACACAGCTCCTTGTCACACAGTCATGTTCTTGACTTGTCATTTGTTTATCGTTCCAGCGGTTTTGTTAGATGTTGATTCCCTTTCCTTCTGGGTTTTAAAGTGGTTATTCTGCGTTAAATATTTGATGCAATGATGATTTATATTGCCATCAGCAGTAGCAGTAAATCCGTAGTGTGCATATAGCTGTTAAGTATTCAGCAGCGTTACTGTGTGTCTTTAGTACTGTAGTTCCTTTTTCTGTAATCAGGCAGCTTTTACAGGTTTTTAATAAGACCTCTAACTTGACAGAGGTTTTAACTACAGTCCTAGGTAGAACGTTCAGGTAGAAAAATAAGTTCATTTAGTAATTTTCACAGCCCTTAAAATGCACTAATAGGAATCTGGAGGAGAGACCTTTCCCTTTTCCCCCAGACTTCAACTTAGTGTACACTGTAAACTCTGCACAGAGATTTCTGATGTGTGAAGATTTAATTTTAAAACTGTAGAACCAACAACCTTCTTTAAAAATTTTATATTGTGTGCTAAATATTCATATGCCTTTTAAAGTCAGATATAGTCCACTGCATTTCTTGCTTTTGCACTACTAAAGAAATTTTGTACTGAATACTAGGAGTAAATGCTAATTACACTTCAAGTGTGAACCGATTGAATTTGAATAGAAAATATTTTCACAGTGTTAGAAAACTTCTTTTTCCCTTTTGAAAGAACAAAGCTGAGCTCAACGCCTGTGCAAAAACTCTTGTGCTGTAAACTGAATATATCATTTATGTGGAACATGCGATGTTACACTTCTGTGTGGTAAAACCTTGCAGTGTCAGTTATTCTCTTTATTGCACTTGACATATGATGTCTTGTTTTATTCACACTGTGGATTTGACTTTTCCAGTGTAAAACCAAAGCAAACAAACAAAAAGAAATCATGCAATGTATTCAATTTCCTCAATTGGTGTCATAAACTTTCTTTTGATGTGAACTTTTTCCTCTGCTTCTCTTTGTTCCAAACTTCTATTTTGCAATAAACATTTTGACAGTAAATTTTATGCATCTGTGTCCCTGTGTAAAATGCTGGTGTTTCAAGAGGTTCCTTATTGTCTGCTGGTTTAAGTCACTTTTTGTATTACTCGCTGTGTGACATTTCTCCTTTATTCTCCCACCTTTAAAAAAAAAAAATTAATACAGAACATACTCTGCCACTGGCTATATTTAAACATGGGAAAAGCTGGAAAAAATCCATTGTGCAACTAAAAATGCAATATTGGACTTCTGCAGTAAATGATTCAGTTGTACAAATTATTGTACCAGGCTCCTCCTGCAGCACTAGCTGGTTTGACAATAAGTACCTACAAAAACCACGACCCACTGCCTTCCTAGGGATGTTTACAGTTGCCACTTGCCCTTCCTTGTGTGCAGTGTGCCCCCAGCGCTACTTTTGCCCCACAGCGTCCTGCCCAGGCTGCGGGTAGCTGTTAGCATAGGGAATGCCTGACTAACAGCAGGTAGGTTGAGAAGATTGGCTGGAAGTATGGTGTAGTAGAGAGAAAAAGTCAGGAAGGTCTCTCTTTCTCTGGCAGACATATCTTCCCTTCTGCCACTTCACCCTGATGCCTTTGGCTCTGTCCCCTTTGGGGAAGCAGTGGGCAAAGGGATGGGTTTGAGGGTCCACTAGGTCCTCCTCACAAAAGTGGCTTCAGCTGGTCTCATGGATGGTTTGTGCCCAGCAAGGTTTGGCTGAGACATTGGTGGAGGAGGAAGAGGATCTGAAGAGTCCTTGAAGTGGGGTGGGCAGCAAAAAGTCGTAGATACGGAGGCAGAAGTCAAGGGGTGTCAGGCAGTCACAAGTCTTTCAATGGGAGTTTCCTGTGGATGCTGCAAAGGGTGTTTCACAGTGATGGCTGGAAGTTGAGGGCGGGCTTACACTAGATCCTGGTCTTGTGCCTGGAGAGCCAGGGAAGTGCTCAGGCGTGTAATGGGCAACTGTGCCCTGGGGCTCAGTGTTCAGCTGTAGGCAGGCAGGGGTGAGTGCCTGCTTGGCCTGTGGGTGGGGAGCTCTGGAGAGCTCATGGGTGGCAGGGCTCTCTGGAGGAGGTAACAAAGCCTTGGGTGGGTAACCGAGCCAAGTCTCATAAGTCAATGTGATGTACATCAAATAAGTTTGCAACTACATCATGGTATTGAGCCTTTGGGAGACACTGACAATCCAAATACATACATACCAATTAATGTTAACCCTTTAGCTGGATAAAAGTGCCAAGAAGGCGAAGCTTGGGATACCATATGCTTGAATAAGTAAAATGGCAATCAGTATTACAGTGACATCTTCTCCTGTATCAGTTTTCGTATCATCCCAGAATTTCACTTAACGCAGCCATTCTTCTGTGCATCTTCCGTTGTTTCCTTGTGCTTCAAGAGCTAACACCATCTTGCATACAACAAAGTGTGCCCCACGTGGGCTGCAGCACTGGAGGAGGCTGGGAATTGCTGCACTCCCCCAGCCTCAGGGGAGCAGTTATGAAGCGTTGGCAGAAACCAGAAGAGACTTGTCTGTACAGGAAGACTAGCCACAGTGGCCCGACTCCAAATTCTGCTTTCACTGCTGTCCAGTGACAATTTTCCTTCCTTTTGCAGAAAATACCCATCATCTGGGAGAGAGTCGTAATCACAGCGTTATTTTCATTGCAGAAATCAGGTGCTACCAGCGCCATAGCAAAAGCCTTCCCATAGTGTCAGAGCCGAGAGGAGAGGCAGCTAGAGAGTCCCTTGCCATCGGATGGTTTACTTTTGCTTCCTAAATTGTTTCTATCGGAGATCTGCTGATAATTTTATCTACATAAAGTGATGGGATCGATTTAGCACTGCCACCCTGCTGTTGGAGCCAGCCCGTGGTCAGTGTGAATCCAAGGGTTTAGTATGTCAGTATGAGAGTCACAGCCTAAAGACCTGCCCTTTGCAGGGGAAAAGGAACCGAATAAAATCGGCCACCAGAGTAAAATTTGGGTGGAGGGGAGAAAAATGGTCAGACAATTTTCTTTTCAATTCATATCTCTCACACAGTTGCTGCCTTCCTTTGATATTTGTGCATGGACCGAAGAAGATGTGGTGAGTATTTTGTGTTAATGTGGCCAGCGTTGCGCTGCTGGAGCTCTCTAACAAATTACAGTGGGTACAGAGGGAGGGGGAAGCTGGATCAGAACATCTAGATGAGATTTTACTGCTATTTGTTTGGTGAAACTTGTGTCCCAATAACTGTGAGTAAATTAAGGACTTGAGCGACCTTCATAAAACAGCCACATTCTCCAATGTCCAGAAAATAATTTGTGCTGGGAGCTGTCAGCAGCCAGGAGGGCCTTCCTGAGTGATCATTTAAGGAATGTGGAAGTGCCCTGAGACCCATCTAAGCAAGACCTGTCCTGGACAGGACAAAACGGGTTCAAAGGTTTCATCCTACTGCGTGCCACCAGGATGGCAATTAACTGAAAGAAAGTTAAGGGGTTTTTAAGGGGTGTGGGATCTCTCTTTCATATAAAATAATGGCATTGAGTCTTTTTTACCTTTTTATTCAGTTAAAAGGCTAAGAAAGAAACGTCAATGATTTATCTCTAGCATAGTGATGCATCACAGTGATTTTAATGTCCCATCTAGCACCCTCCTTGTGTGTTGTGCATCATGGGGTTGTTGAGCTAATGTTTACTGAAGGATTGTCTGGAAAGCCAGTGCAAAAGCTCTAATAGCCCTGGCTCCTTAACTTCAGCCCTTTTAGCATAAGCTTTTGCTTCGCTCATTTCTGTTGTTGTTCATAATGATAAACTGAGGAAGGTGGCTGCAAAATAGAAGGCAGTTTTAAAAAGCTAAATAAAAGTAATCACTTGCATTGGTGAATCTTGAGTCCTTTAACCCAAAGTTAGGAATATTATTAAATTTTGTTTTAAAAAAGAATGATTACTTGTGTACTTCAAATAACTGTAATGTAAAATTTTGATAATGTGAACTTCAAGACTGATTCTTCTTTTTTGCAGTTTTTCTGGATGCAACAACTTACTAGAAAAGGTAAAAGCTATTTGTATGTACCTTCGTATTCACATTTATGCACATATATACATTTGCTCATCTTTTTCTCCCTCCAATAAAGCACCCTATGGATTTCTGAATAACCTCTCTTATCTTAAGGCGATGCTTCTGGTGAAATGAGTGTATATGCTAGCTTGTTTAAGGAACATCATATCACTGGGAAACGATTGCTTCTTCTAGAAGAAGAGGATTTAAAGGACATGGGAATTGTTTCCAGAGGACACATCATCCATTTAAAGGTATTTAACAGCATATGTTGAATGCTGCAATAGGTTATAGTATGAATATTAAGGAGTCTATGGGTTTTCAGTAGTATTAACAACAAAAAAAGTTATAACGCTAAATAGAGAACATATTTGGTATAAAAAACCCTAGAGTTACAGGTTCGAATGGACCTAGAACCCAAAGCAACCTGAGCATTTTGTAAGGCATGAAAACGTGCTGTGGTCTTTATACTCCTCTGCAGTTCTTGGTTTTCTTGTGGGCTGGAGACTGTCAGTACTGCTAAAGATTTGCCTAGGAGAGCCAGTCTCCCGGCAGAAAGCTTTGGATATCTTCAGAGAGATTTCTTCCTGAAGGTTTCTCTTTAGCTGAGGGAGGAGCAGATATGAAAACAGTTATTTGAACTGAAATCTCTGAATTTCTCAACTTTCACATCTCATCTATAGCTTAAAACATACTTTGACTAACAAAACTCCGTTAGACAACTTTAAAGCTGGTTGACAGCCAGGTTGCTTTGCTCTTAAAGCTTTGTTTCACGGTATTTTAAATATCTAATGTTTGTAATGAGTTAAGAAAATCATGGTCTAGAAAACGTGATCGTGACAGCAGTAATAGTATTAATACTGTCGCCACAGGAGAGAGTTCAGTTTCCTGGCAGTCAGCTTTGGAAAAGGATTACTCTAAAAGCAGCATCTATAATTCTGTTGGGTCTCAATGATTTTATACCACAATTTACTAGTAAAGAGATACTTATATCCTAATTACTAGTCCTGCAAATTTGGCTTCATAAGTCACACAGATTTATTCCCCTTTTGCTCATCAGCCGTTTTTTCCATGCCACACAGCATTACCGATATATTTAATTTACATTTCCTACAGGGAAAATTATTGAAACTTAATAAAGTCAATAATGCCCAAAATGAAAGATTTCAGCTTCCTGGGTTGATTGAGCGTAAATAAAAACAACCAAAGCAACCCCCAAACATCTCTTTCTCTGATTAAGCAGATCTGATTCTGCATACGAAATGGGGCCGATCTACCACAACAGTTTCCAGAACAGGGCTGTATTTTAAACTCTTCTCACATGCCCTAATGTACCCACAATGGAAAACACAGTGCACACGGAGTTGCGCTGTTTTTCATGCTGGTATTTGCAGTATGAGATACTGAATAACTCTCATCTGATTGTGTTGATTATTTTTTTTCTAGACTGCTATTGAGAAGTTAACCCATGACTACCTAAATCTGTTTCATTTTCCACCATTAATTAAGGCAAGTCTCATTGTTTATGTAAGAAGTGCTTCTCGTGTTGGTATGAATATTTTACTGTTCTCGTGTCTCAACTTTCCTACCATTCGTGGGTGGGCGAAGCAGCAGTTCCTGCAAAGGGTTGTGACAAATGCGGAGGGTCAACAGCGGTGATGGGTCACATCAGAACAAGTAATAGGATAATAAAAGTTCTTTTCAAGGAGGCGCTAAGATTTTATCGTGGAACTTGTAGTATTAAATTAAAAGACTACTGGTTGCGATTCCTTTGCTGTCATTAATCAGAAATTACCCTTAAGAGCCATTCCTCCAAACTGGTGCCACCGACTGCTCACCACCGAAGAACGGCAGACCCCTGGCCCAGCATGAGCCCATCACTCCTCAGTTTGATAATGTTACAGGAGAAAAGGATGATTTATAATGTCTGGTCACCCTTGTGTTAACCCGTTGGTTTTCTGACATCAGTAACAAGAGCCATGCAAAAG